ACTGGAGTCCTGTCTCACAAAAAAAACTGTACAGAGAGCTCTGTTTCTGGCATCTCTTTAAAACTTCCCTAAAATGGACCAAGACTCTGTCACTGTACAAGTTTCCGATATGGCTTGCAACATCCTTCTCTGGGTGATGTTTCTCCATAAATTTTTCCATCCTACCCCACATTTCAAAAATCTCCTTAATTTCTGAAGAAGGCACCTTCCTCCATCTCTCTTCCTCCTCTGCAGCAAGATTCTGAGCTGTGATCTGTTGCTCTTCCTGCTGAAGCTCTTACAGCTCCTCAGTGGTTAGCTCTTTGTTGTGGTCCTCCACCAACTCTTCCACATCCTCCAAACTCATATCCAACCCCCATGGAACTCCCCAGTGCCACAATGGATTTAACAACTGACATAGGCTCATCAGGGTCAGCCCCAAACCCTTCAAAATCCCTCTTGTGGACACAATATGGCCACAATTTTCTCCAAGCAGAGTTTAAAGTCCTGGTAGTCACTCCTTCCCAAGCCATACCTATAAGGCTTACGCAATGGAGAATACTGAAGTGTTCTTTCCAAAAATCTCGTAGGGTCAAGTGAGTGTCTGAGGTTACATTCAAGCACCTTTCAAACATTGCTTTGGTGTAGAGTTTTTTTAAAGTTTGCAATGACCTGCTGGTCCATGGGCTGGAGGAGAGGAGTGGTATTCTGGGGCAAGAACTTTACTGTGATGAACCCAAACTCCTTCAGAATTAGGTCATCCAAGTTTGGAGGATGAGCAGGTGCATTGTCCATTACTAGGAGGCACTTGAGATCCAATTTCTTTTCCAGGAAGTAATTCTTCAGACTAAGGCCCAAACACTTCATTGAACCACTCGACGAAAATGTTCCTTGTGACCCATGCCTTACTATTAGATTTCCAAAACACACACAATTTACTCTTCATAACATTGTTTTTCCTGAACACTCTGGGATTTTCAGAATGGTAAACTAGTAACGGCTTCACTTTGAAATCCCCACTAGCATTAGCACAGAACATTAGCGCCAGCCTGTTTTTCATAGGCTTGTGTCCTGGCAGTGCCTTTTTCTCCTGAGTAATGTAGGTCCTCTTTGGCATTTTCTTCCAAAAGAGGCCTGTTTCATCACAGTTGAACACTTGTTCAGGTTTCAGTCCTTCACTGTTTATGTACTCCTTGAATTCATGCACATATTTTTCAGCCGCCTTGTGGTCCGAACTGGCAGCCTCACCATGCTTTACCACACTGTATGCCAGTACGCTTCTTAAATCTCTCGAACCAGCCTTTGCTGGCCTTAAATTCACTCACATCACTAGTTGCAGGCAATTTCTTTACCAAATCGTCATGCAACTGCCTAGCCTTTTCTCAAATAAGCGACGTCATAAGACTATCTCCTGCTAATTGTTTCTCATTTATCCACACCAATAATAACTTCTCAACATCTTCGAGTACTGGTGATCTCATTTTTGTCAGCATATTTACCCCCTTTGCAACAACAGCGTCCTTGATTTCCTTTTTCTTGGCTATGATTGAAGATATGGTTGTACGGGATTTGTTATACATCCTGGCCAGTTCGCCCAAACGTTCGCCACTATCATATTGTTCAATGATATTTTTCTTAAATTCATTCGTATTTCTCACCTTTACCAAAGGCTTGGCACTAGGAGCTTTCTTTGGAGCCATGGTAGCTTATTTAGCACTTAGATAACTTGCAAGCACTAAAATAAATGGAATATATTATGAAATATTTCGCTGGAGCATGTGAGGGGACCGTCGCTCACTGGTAAACAGTGGCACACTGGCTGGGAAGGAAAGGCCGAGGTGGCTCAGAGTGTGAGTACGCATCCGGGACGAAGGACTATTAGCGAGTTACCGGACCATTTGCGAGCCAATATTTTGACAAAAAAAAAACAGGACTATTTCCGAAATGGATGACTTTCTGGCCGGACGATTACTGAGGGACCACTGTAGTTGTATAAATAATGTCAACCCATTCATGACTGCATATTAAAATGGCTAGTTGGACATTTATTGGACAATGACATCATTTGTTTACTCTTGAACATCGGCAAAAATCAAACATTTCCCCTAATTTGAGCTCCAATTCCAGGTTCTTTTCATAGTAAAACCAGTCAAAATCACCTCTATTTCTGTAATGTGTTTTCTATTCTATCAAATGTAACTAAGAAAACAAGAATATAACCATAGAAACTATACGAAACTATACCTCAAAGTCGCCATTTTAATCCAAAAACACGGTCGGAGTTTTTTTTTTTTTCATTATGCACTGAGTGCTGCAGGATTTTTTTTTATATGGTGCACACTGACCACACAGACCCATTCTCTCACATGTGGGCCTACCAACTTTCTCCTGCTTGATTTGAAGCCGCTAGAATTTTTGAGTATATATACGTACGTCAAACACGGTGGCTCGTGAGACGAATATACTGTGGACCCCCGCTTAACGATCACCTCCGAATGCGACCAATTATGTAAGTGTATTTATGTAAGTGCGTTTGTACGTGTATGTTTGGGGGTCTGAAATGGACTAATCTACTTCACAATATTCCTTATGGGAACAAATTCGGACAGTACTGGCACCTGAACATACTTCTGGAGTGAAAAAATATCGTTAACCGGGGGTCCACTGTATACGACTGAAACAGTCAAAGGGTTAATTATTTTTGAAGTGCTTGACAGATAAGGGACTTTTAGAATCTGGCAGAGAGTTTCATATTTTTGGGCCTTTCATTTGTATGGCATTTCTTTTCAGGTTGAGTTGCACATGTGGAATATCAAAGAAATATTTGTTTCTTGTAGTGTCTATTTATGAAGATTCTTTGGAGAAAAAGTGATATAGGTGAAATCCCAGAGGTCTTAAAAAGAGTATACACATCTCCTTTGCACAAATGAGGCAGTGCAGTTCTGGCAATAATAATAATAATAATAATAATAATAATAATAATAATAATAATAATAATAATAATTTTTTCAACAAAATGGCCATATCCCACCAAGGCAGGGCGGCCCAAAAAGAAAAACGAAAGTTTCTCTTTTTAAACATAGTAATTTATACAGGAGAAGGGGTTACTAGCCCGTTGCTCTTGGCATTTTAGTCGCCTCTTACAACATGCAAGGCTTACGGAGGAAGAATTCTGTTCCACTTCCCCATGGAGATAAGTGGAAATAAACAAGAACAAGAACTAGTAAGATAATAAAAGAAAACCCAGAGGGGGTGTATATATATATGCTTGTACGTGTATGTGTAGTGTGACCTAAGTGTAAGTAGAAGTAGCAAGACGTACCTGAAATCTTGCATGTTTATGAGACAGAAAAATGGACACCAGCAATCCTACCATCATGTAAAACAATTACAGGCTTTTGTTTTACACACACTTCGCAGGACGGTAGTACCTCCCTGGGTGGTTGCTGTCTACCAGCTTACTACCTATTAATATTTTTTTTATTTTTTATTATCACACTGGCCGATTCCCACCAAGGCAGGGTGGCCCGAAAATAATAATAATAATAATAATAATAATAATAATAATAATAATAATAATAATAATAATTTGTATGCAAGGGGCTTGGATATACAACAGGCATGTGTGAGCATGTTAGATAGGAGGGGAGATGAATGGTTTTTGGGGCTTGACAAGCTGTTGGAGTGTGAACGGTAATATTTTGTGAAGGGATTCAGGGAAACTGGTTAACCGGACTTGGGTCCTGGAGGTGGGAAGTACAGTGTCTGCACTCTAAAATAGGGGTTTGGGATATTTACCGTTTAGAGTAACATCTAAACTGTTGTATCTGCCTCTGTAAAGATAGTGATTGTGTGAATGATGGTGAAAGTGTTTGTTTTTCGGGTCACCCTACCTCAGTGAGAGACGGCCAGCGTGTTTAAAAAATTATTATTATATACCCCATACAGGTGTAGTGCATCCCCATGAATATTATAATATTTTTTTTTTATTGTTAACACACTGGCTGATTCCCACCAAGGCTGGGTGGCCCGAAAAAGAAAAACTTTCACCATCATTCACTCCATCACTGTCTTGCCAGAAGGGTGCTTTACACTACAGTTTTTAAACTGCAACATTAACACCCCTCCTTCAGAGTGCAGGCACTGTACTTCCGATCTCCAGGACTCAAGTCTGGCCTGCCGGTTTCCCTGAATCCCTTCATAAATGTTACTTTGCTCACACTCCAACAGCACGTCAAGTGTTAAAAACCATTTGTCTCCATTCACTCCTATCAAACACGCTCACGCATGCCTGCTGGAAGTCCAAGCCACTCGCACACAAAACTTCCTTTACCCCCTCCCTCCAGCCTTTCCTAGGCCGACCTCTACCCCGCCTTCCTTCCACTACAGACTGATACACTCTTGAAGTCATTCTGTTTCGCTCCATTCTCTCTACATGTCCGAACCACCTCAGCAACCCTTCCTCAGCCCTCTGGACAACAGTTTTGGTAAACCCGCACTTCCTCCTAACTTCCAAACTACGAATTCTCTGCATTATATTCACACCACACATTGCCCTCAGACATGACATCTCCACTGCCTCCAGCCTTCTCCTCGCTGCAACATTCATCACCCATGCTTCACACCCATATAAGAGCGTTGGTAAAACTATACTCTCATACATTCCCCTCTTTGCCTCCAAGGACAAAGTTCTTTGTCTCCACAGACTCCTAAGTGCACCGCTCACCCTTTTCCCCTCATCAATTCTATGATTCACCTCATCTTTCATAGACCCATCCACTGACACGTCCACTCCCAAATATCTGAATACATTCACCTCCTCCATACTCTCTCTCTCCAATCTGATATCCAATCTTTCATCACCTAATCTTTTTGTTATCCTCATAACCTTACTCTTTCCTGTATTCACTTTTAATTTTCTTCTTAATATTAATAGGGTAATATTATAATAATATTGTAAAATGTTTGACAGTTTTAATTATGTAAACTATTGATATTTCATATTTTTGATTCCTATACAGATGTTGATGGTGTGGGTAAGGAGGTTAAAGCTAAACGTCGAATTTACGAAGTACTTATTGAAGACAAAACAAAAAAGGAGATATACCTGCGGTTTTCTGAATCTGCTGTTTCTGCCCTCCGTCTAAGTGATGATGAAGAAGTGACAGTGGAAGTTCAGTTTCAGTTGAACCGTCTACCACTCTGTGAAATGCATGCAGCACTTGACCGTCTCCCAGCTTTAGACATGATTTTTCCAGATGTCACTCTAGAACCTGCAATTCCATGGAACCCAATCAAGTAAGTAGATCAAATAATATTGTTATCTCTGTGCTTTTCATATTCTGACTTATTTTTTGTATTTATAGTGATGTGTGTGGTTCCTACAGGCAGTGGGGCGAGAGTCTGGATGCCAAGTTGAATCCCAAGCAGAAGGAAGCTCTTGTTGCAATTACTGCACCAATTGGACTTGTCCTTCCTCCTATACTCATCATAGGTAAATACTCTAGATTTATTTTACAATAAGCTCTCTTATAAAGTTATTCTAAATGGTTTAGTTTTTGAAAATACAGTGGACCCTTGGTCATCAACTGTTCCAGATATTCGGCCAATTCGGTTTTTGCCCACTTTTTTGGCCGAAATTTTATCCTGGTTATCAGCCGTTATTTCGGAGATCGGCCATATTGGACGCACATAATAAATCACTCTTGAACACATTAAATGTCTCATTTTAGGTTAATATAGACATTCTCATTAATCCATCTGTGATATTTTCTTCAAAATTTTATAAGAAACACATTACATAGCATATAGCATATAAACATAGCATATAAACATGCAATGTTTATATGCTATCGAGTGGAGAGTCGGGTGGGGAGTAAACATTAAGTTTTCTCTGATTCAGCATTAGAGAAAACTGTGAATCTGGCATCTCGCCCAGTAACCGCCCTTTATATGTGTTTGTTTAGAATTCTCGGCATGAATTATTCATTACTATCCTTTGTTTATCATGGCATCAAAAGGTAGTTGTTAGAAAAGATTAAACTCATTGAGTATGGTAATAATAGGGCTGTGTAGTGTAATAATATGGCTGTGTAGTGTAGCCCAGGGGGGCTACACTACACAAGGGAGAGGGAGTTGGGGATTCCCAACTCCCTCTCCCCTCCTGTCTTCTTCAGTACGCCAACAAAAGTCTTCAATAAAGGTGTGTAATGTTCATATATCATTAATATTTGTGCTTTATATTTATTTCTCAGTGTTTTCTATATGTAAAACTATAGTTAATTATTTTTTTTTACAACAAGACGGCCGTCTCCCACCGAGGCAGGGTGACCCAAATTGAAAGAAAATCTCCAAAAAGAAAATACTTTCATCATCATTCAACACTTTCATCTCACTCACACATAATCACTGTTTTTGCAGAGGTGCTCACAACACAACAGTTTAGAAGCATATACGTATAAAGATACACACATATCCCTCCAAACTGCTAATATCCCGAAGCCCCTCCTTTAGAGTGCAGGCATTGTACTTCCCATTTCCAGGACTCCAGTCCGGCTATACAAAAATAACCGGTTTCCCTGAATCCTTTCACTAAATATTACCCTGCTCACACTCCAACAGATCGTCAGGTCCCAAATACCATTCGTCTCTATCCACTCCTATCAAACACGCTCATGCACGCCTGCTGGAAGTCCAAGCCCCTCACCCACAAAACCTCCCTTACCCCTTCCTTCCAACCTTTTCGAGGATGACCACTACCCCGCCTTCCTTCCCTTACAGATTTAACCCTTTGAGTGTTTTGGTCATATATATACGGCTTACTAGCCAGTGGTTTTTACGTATTTATACTCAAAATTTCTAGCGCCTTCAAATCAAGTGGGAGAAAGGTGGTAGGCCCACATGTGAGAGAATGGGTTTGTGTGGTCAGTGTGTGCTGTATAAAACAAATCCACCAGCACACAGTGCATAATGAGAAGAAAAACCTCTTGATTGTGTTTTGGATTAAAATGCCGGCTTTGAGGTGTTTACCTGGAGTTTACCTGGAGAGAGTTCCGGGGGTCAACGCCCCCGCGGCCCGGTCTGTGACCAGGCCTCTGTGTACAGTGGACCCCTGCATAACGATTACCTCCGAATGTGACCAATTATGTAAGTGTATTTATGTAAGTGCGTTTGTACGTGTATGTTTGGGGGTCTGAAATGGACTAATCTACTTCACAATATTTCTTATGGGAACAAATTCGGTCAGTACTGGCACCTAAACATACTTCTGGAGTGAAAAAATATCACCCTTTGACTGTCGCGGCCGTATATATACGTTTTACGAGGTGCCGTGTTTGACGTATATATACTCATAAATTCTAGCGGCTTCAAATCAAGCAGGAGAAAGCTGGTAGGCCCACATGTGAGAGAATGGGTCTGTGTGGTCAGTGTGCACCATATAAAAAAAATCCTGGAGGACGCAGTGCATAATGAGAAAAAAAAAACTCCGACCGTTTTTTTTAATTAAAATACCGACTGTGGTCTATTTTCGTATAGTATTTATGGTTGTATTCTCGTTTTCTTGGTCTCATTTGATAGAATCGAAAACATATTACAGAAATAGAGGTGTTTTTGATTGATTTTACTATAAAACAAACCTAGAAATGGAGCTCAAAGTAGGGGAAATGTTTGATTTTTGCCAATGTTCAAAAGTAAACAAATGATGCCATTGTCCAATAAATGTCCAACTAGCCATTCTAATATGCAGTCATGAATGGGTTGATGTTATTTATACAGTTATTACAGCATTGCAGTAGTCTGCATAATAGTAAGTCTAATATTTTTTGTTTGAATAAAAATTCAAAATAGAAAGCAAGAGTAATATCAGAGGGGCCTGGAGACGTGACTGATGAACAAAGAAAACGTTATTTTAGAGCCTGGAATGTCTGCATTGTTCATTCTGGACCTTATTTTGAAATTGTCATATTTTTTAGTTTTCGTGAAATTGGCCAAATTGCAAATTTCTGACCACATTATTAGGTAGTTGAAATCAGTAAATGGGCAGTTTCTTGTACTCAATCGATAGAAAAAATGAAGTTCTAAAGAAATAGCTATGAGTTTGGGCGACTGGAACAATGGAATTAGCCGAAAATAGGGCTCAAAGTGGGCGAAAACGCCGATTTGTAAACAGCGCCGAGGTCGCTAACTTCGCGAGAGCATAATTCCGTCAGTTTTCCATCAAATTTCGTTTTTTTGGTGTCATTACAATCGGGAAAAGATTCTCTATCATTTCATAAGAAAAAATAATTTTTTTTTTTTTAAATTTTGCGACACCAGGAGACACCTCAGGATTGGGGGTTGCGACAGTCAAAGGGTTAACCGGGGGTCCACTATATTTTCGTATAGTATTTATGGTTGTATTCTCATTTTCTTGGTGTCATTTGATAGAATGCAAGAGATATTACAGAAATAGAGATGATTTTCATTGGTATCACAATGAAAAGGACCTTGAAATTGAGGTGAAAATAAAGGAAATGTTCGATTTTTGCCAATGTTCAAGAGTAAACAAATGATGTCATTGTTCATTAAGTGTCCAATAAACCAGTCTAATACACAGTCATGAATGGGTTGACATTATTTATACAATTATTGCAATAATGCAGTAGTCTGCATAACAGTAAATCTTCTATTTTTTGTGTGAATAAAAATTCAAAGTAGAAAGCAAGAGTAATATAAGAGGGGCCTAGAGATGTGACTGATGAACAGAGAAAATGTTATTTTAGTGCCAGGAATGTCTGCACTGTAAATTCTGGACCCTATTTTGAAATTGGCATCTTTTGTAATTTCATGAAATAGGCCAAATTGCCAATTTCTGATCACTTTATTGGGTAGTTGAAATCTGTAAATGGGCAGTTTCCTGTACTCAATCAATAGAACAAATGGAGTTTTAAAGAAATAGTTATGAGTTTGGTTGACTGAAACAATGGAATTGGCCGAAAATAGGGCTCAACGTGGGCGAAATCGCTGATGCATAAACATCGCTAACTTCACGAAAGCCTAATTCCGTAAGTTTTCCATCAAATTTCGTACTTTTGGTGTCATTACCGTTGGGAATAGATTCTTTATCATTTCATGAGAATTTATTTTTCTTTTTTTTTTAAATTTTGCAACTCAGAGAGAGACTTTAGAATTTGGGGTCTCGACAGTCAAAGGGTTAAATGCTTTCCATGTCATTCTACTTTGATCCATTCTCTCTAAATGACCAAACCATCTCAACAACCCCTCTTCAGCCCTCTGACTAATACTTTTATTAACTCCACACCTTCTCCTAATTTCCACACTCCGAATTTTCTGCATAATATTTACACCACACATTGCTCTTAGACAGGACATCTCCAGTGCCTCCAACCGCCTCCTCGCTGCAGCATTTACAACCCAAGCTTCACACCCATATAAGAGTGTTGGTACTACTATACTTTCGTACATTCCCTTCTTTGCCTCCATAAATAACGTTTTTTTGTCTCCACATATACCTCAACGCACCACTCACCTTTTTTCCCTCATCAAATCTATGATTAACCTCATCCTTCATAAATCCATCCGCCGACACGTCAACTCCCAAGTACCTGAAAACATTCACTTCTTCCATACTCCTCCTCCCCAATTTGATATCCAATTTTTCTTTATCTAAATCATTTGATACCCTCATCACCTTACTCTTTCCTATGTTCACTTTCAACTTTCTACCTTTACACACATTCCCAAACTCATCCACTAACCTTTGTAATTTTTCTTTAGAATCTCCCATAAGCACAGTATCATCAGCAAAAAGTAACTGTGTCAACTCCCAGTTTGTATTTAATTCACCATAACTTAATCCCACCCCTCTCCCGAACACCCTAGCATTTACTTCTTTTACAACCCCATATATAAATATATTAAACAACCATGGTGACATTACACATCCCTGTCTAAGACCTACTTTTACCGGGAAGTATTCTCCCTCTCTTCTACACACCCTAACCTGAGCCTCACTATCCTCATAAAAGCTCTTTACAGCATTTAGTAACTTACCACCTATTCCATATACTTGCAACATCTGCCACATTGCTCCTCTATCCACTCTATCATATGCCTTTTAAATTTTATAAAATGTATTTTTTTTTGTTAATATTTTTGGGTGTCTGAAACGGATTAATTGGATTTACATTAATTCTTATGGGAAATATTATTTCGGTTTTTGGCTTTTTCGGACTTAAGCCGACCTTCTGGAACGGACTACAGCCGATAACTGAGGGTCCACTGTACATTTAAAAAAGTGCCTCAAAAATTGAATAGCACATACTATGAAGGCCTTTCCATACACTTTTCTGTTTTGGATAAACTTTTTTCTGTTACATTTACAATAAACTGCACTGTAAAAAGAAGCTTTATAAGAGAGCTTACTGTACTTTTATTCTTATGGGGCACCAGTTTATTGATGAATTGTATTCTGAGTGTTATAGATTACAAGCA